CACCTCATGATCCCTTGCTTTACCAAAACAAAATATTTCGCTCTTGTGAAAATTAATTTTGAGCCCCGATAGTTGTTCAAAAGTGCTTAGAATTAATTTCATATTAACCGCCTTCTAAACATCATGACTCATAAAAATCACAGTGTCATCCGCATACTATAGGATAGACAGCCCATCTTGGATAAGATGGGGAATGACTCCTACCTGACCTGCTTCCTTAGCTCTAGCAATTTGTATGGCCACCATGTCCACTACTATATTTAATAGTATTGGAGACATTGGGTCACCTTGCCTTAATCCTTTTTTTGTTTGGAAGTATGAGCCAAGCTAGTCATTCACTTTAATGTTTACATTTCCTCCCTGTGTAAACTGCTGCACCCACGAACACCACTTATGCGAGAAGCCCTTCATCCTTAAAGTTTGTTGTAGGAAGTCCCATTTTACTTTGTCATAGGCCTTTTCAAAATCTATTTTAAAGATTATCCCGTCCTGTTTTTTCGAGTGAAGTTCATGGATTGTCTCATGAAGTATCATTGCGCCCTCCATAATGTTTCTTCCTGGAAGAAAGGTCGTTTGTGTTGGTCTAATAATCTTCTGGGCAACAGTAGATAGTCTATTTGTCGCAACTTTGGTAAAGATCTTGAAAGAAACATTTAACAAACATATAGGTCTATATTGTTGAATGACTTTCATATCTTTCTTTTTTGGTAATAAAATTATAGTTCCAAAGTTGAGACTATGCAAAGGCAAGTTCCCCTCATGAAATTCCATAAACAGAGCCATCAGATCTTCTTTTACCATGTCCCAGAAGACCTGATAAAACTCTGGTGGAAAACCATCTGGGCCCAGTGCCTTATTATGTTCCATCTGAAAAATTGCTGCCCTGACCTCAGACTCTGTGAATACATCAGTCAGGTACTCATTTTCCAGTTCAGATACTTGTGGAATATCCTGAACAAGGTGTTCATCTAATTTCATATTAGAGTTATCTGGTGGGCCAAACAGGTTTTTATAATAATTGGTAATATGCTGCTTTAATTGAGCATCACCATCTATTATAGTGTCACCGTCCTTCAACTAGAAAATACGAGTTTTTCGGTGCCTACCATTAGCCAACAAATGAAAATATTTAGTATTAGCATCTCCTTCCAGTAGGTGCTTAACCTTTGCCCTTTGGTACCATTTAACTTCCTTCTCTCTAAGTAATTCAGCGAGTCTCTCACTTAGCACATGTTTCAAATTTAACTCCGTCTCATTCAGCAGGAGGTTCTCTGCCTTCTTATCTAGCTCATCGAGTTTGTCTAGCAGTTCCTTCTTTTCTTTCTTATAAGTGCCACTCACATTTTTCGCCCAGCCTCTGAGGTATTGGCGAAGTCTCCTGATCTTTGCTTGCCACATGCCCTCGACCAGAACACTATGCCACACATCTCGCACCATGTCACAAAATCCATCTCTAAGCAACCATCCCAGTTCAAACTTGAACTGGGGTTGGTAAGTTTGAGATGGGCTATTTGTACTACATAAGAGTGGAGTGTGATCAGAGATCTCTCTATTTAAAGCATGGCCGGTTGTAAGCGGATATTTGGATTCAAATTCCGTACAAACTAGAATCCTATCCAACTTCTCAAAGGTCTGATTTTGCAGGTGATTAGCCTAAGTAAATTTTCTTCCTGCCATCTCCAACTCTCTAAGACTTAACGTGTCAATAACAACATTAAAAAGAAAAGGCCATCTGTCGTTGTAGTTTTTATTATTTTTCTCATCTAGGCTGCGAATAATGTTGAAATCACCACCTATGATAATAGGTACGGTCTCTTTTGAACATACTCTAACCAACTCATATAAGAAATGTGATTTGAGATCTAACTGAGCTGGGCCATATATTGAGATTAAATTAAACTTGAAGTCATCCTCCTTATGTCGTAATTTGAACCGAATAAAAAAATCTCCTTCTTCTATCTGGCCAATGTCAAAAGTTAAAGGATTTATTCCTAGAATCATACCACCGGACCGACCCCTCGGAGCCATGCAATGCCATAGAAAATCTCTGCCCGCGCAGATATTATTCAAGGTCGATTGCAGAAAGTTGGCTCTCCCGGTCTTCAATAATGCAATAAAATCTAAGTCCTTTTCTTTTGTCAAGTCGGATAGGAACCTATATTTTTTCGTATCAGCAAACTCTTTGCAATTCCAAAAAATTCCTTTCATCTAGAATGGTGTCTAATTATTTTCTTATTAAGCTTGGAACTAGATTTTTTGGAATGTGATATAGGGGTCTGTAGACACAAAGGGTCACAGCCCTCCATCTCCTAGGTCTTCAGAAATTTCTACACAAATTAAATTTTAAGCCTCTAGGTCCATGTTTTCTTCTAAGGAACAAACAGTGGAAGTATCGTCCAACATAGCTTTACTTTTTTCCTCTAAACTATTGTTTGCTGACATTCTAGCAAATTCAATATCTCTTAAACTTTTCAAAGAAAGAGACACTTCTTGTTCATTAGAGCCAAGAGAGATTCCTAACGAGCTAGTTGTATGCAGCAACATAGAATCATCGAGAATATCAAAAGAGTGTGGCAAAGTCTCATTACCTTTGACTGAAGATGCATTCAAGTTTTTGCGTGCTTTTAACTTCATCGCCTTCTCCAAAGAGTCTTGGTCCGAAGTAGACACGTTTCCCTTACTAGCTCTCACTGGTGACACTGCCCCACCGTTCAAAGTTTTAGACTACAACAAACTAGGTTTCCACTGTGCCGAACCATCTGGAATCATCCCACACGGAGAGAGCAGTACTACACGCTTGTATGCACTCTTTTCTCCCACTGAAGCGGATTCTGTAACTTCCAAGTTTGAATGCTGGAGTACTTCACCTACAGTAGCCGCCAAATCCTGCTGGACGTCAGCGGCTCCTGCAAGCTTAGCTGCCATGACCATGCTCTCAGTGGATGCTCCTGTCACAGCCTTGGACTTGTGCTGCCCACTTGGTGCAACTGAAGCATTGGTCTGTTTACCAGGTGCTTTACCAGCTGCATCATCTGCTGTTTTGTTAGCATCATGATCCATATTCTCCGGTTCCTTTTCTTCTGGGGCTTTGTCCTCATCCATGGTAGAGTCCATGTCAATGACCTAGAACTCACCATCAGGCATATATTTTTCAACTCTGAATTGTAGCTCATAAACAAAATCCCCAATGACAACATCCACAAGGTCAGGGATGAGCTCAGGATTAAGCACTGCCACTTTCAGTTTGGCTCTTCCATTCTTCTTAGTGAATTTAGTGTCCACTGCACGAGGAACACCCAAAATTGAGCCAATTGCCCAAATGATGGGAAATTCTCGTAGCTCTTTTGGAAGACCCCGGAATTGTACCCATACCTTGTCAATCTCATACTTAAAGACATAATTTTCAACCCCTTTCTCGAACCGAATCTTTCCTTTCACTGTCTTTGTGTCCATTGGGCCTCAATTCACCATGTGATTGAGCACTTCAGCAGAAGGGAAATTAGTGATAAAGGCATCATTATCTTTCTCTTCAATCACCCAACTATGTCCAGGCAGTAGTTTGTTAAGTTCCACTACTAACTAGTTAGCAGTAAGAGAACCCTCCAAAACACGTACCACAGCGGACTTGTCATCTGAAGGTAATTTTGGATTTTCAATGACAGGTATAAAATAGAAGCCTAGACCTTCTACAGCATATCCACATGGTATAGCAGTAGCTTGTAAATTCTTCAAATTTGGACATACTTTTTTAACATGATCACCAAAACAAATCTCGCAACTAAGCATAGTAGTACAAACCGACATCGTATGCCCTTTAGTGTGACAACGATAGCAATATGGTTTACCCTTGCTTTTGTGATTCCCTCCCTTTTGGGATGACTCTGGCACATCAATCAAGACTCCTGTAGTGTTTGATCCTGGCGGGGCAGTGTCGGTGTTGGGACTTTTAGGAATTGGCAGCGTTGTCTTAGTCGTGGTCGTCGTCGAAGCAACCTGGTGCACTGGCCCTGATGATGATGCCGGGTTTGGAGCAGCATGTGCCGGTCCCCCTTCCTGGATTGTCGAAGCTGGGGGGGTCCCGTATGTGCGACGGTGTTCTGGCCACCTGCATTGATAGGCCCCTGCATCGGTGCTGGCTGGTACCGTGGTCTAGGGTTCCAGCCCCCACGGCCACGTCCGCCTCCGTACCCTCCGCCTTGAGGCCGACCACCACATCCAGCGCCGAAGTAGCCGGGTCCGGAGCTGTTGTAGCCATAGCCGGCTTGCCCTCCATAGCCTCGTCCTCGTCCACGAGGGTGAAACTGATCGCGGCCGCGACCTCGCCCGGCAAACCCTGGGTCGAAACCCTGTTGAAAACCGGGGTTGAAGGCCGCACCCCTGCCACCTCCACGCCCACCGAGATCGCCACCAGAACCCGCTCCCGGCGCCGCCATTGATTTTCCTTCACGTACAACCTCCGCGAACGAGGGTCGAGTCGGCGTCGTAGAAGGAGATGGCGGCGTCTTAGGTGGGACTCTGTGTTTGTGAATGACTCGGGTTCCTGTGCGCCTGAAAAACGCACGTAAACCGATGGTGGGCCGAAAAATCTTTCCGGGCCCAAGTACCACATGCTCTGCCAGTCCAGGAAACCCTTGAGCCGACTTCTCTGTCGCACCCGTCGTGACGCACGCAGCCGAAGCCGGTAGCATCGTACGTGGAAGCGGAGGAAAGAGTGGATCAAAATCCTGAAATTTCGGTGATTCAAAATAATTTGAATTCGTTGTCTTCCCCGCCGGGCCAGACCTCGCCGGTGAACCAACCGGTCGAGACGTCCTCGTCGGCCTCCGGTGAGAGCTGGATCTCCTCTGGTCTATACATGGCTACAATAATAGTTATGTGAACCTTGCTTCTTGCAGGAGGATGGCAGTGCAGCAGAATTAGTGCCCATCACTGAAAGAATAAGTCTGAGGAATCGAATAAAACACATAGAAGATATTCTCACTGCCTTGAAGAAATCAGATATGTTGAATGATACGAATAGTAGCAGTGGCACCACCACGGATGCAGACAACGAAAGCAGCAGCTTCACTGTCAAGAACAGTGCCAAAGAAAGCAGCAGCAAGCAGAAAGAAATTGACGAATTGTACAGAGTCATTGAACAGAAAGTGTTCGGTCGAGACAAGGACCGTGCGGATATAATTAGGATGCTTCGTGAGGGACCAGATACCTATGCAGCAAGCTCCAGCACCAGTAAACCTTACTCTGTGATTGGCATATATGGCATTACAGGTTCTGGGAAGAGTACCCTGGCACAATATGTTTGTGACTATGAGAAGAAGGAAGGACATTTCGACCCTGTCATGTTCGTTCTTGTGGGGAAGACATTCAGCGTGGGTAATATATTTCGTGATATGCTTGAGCAGATCACGCAGAGCCGGCCCTCTAAAGACAATGATCTTAAAAGTCTAAAAGAAGAGTTGAACAAAGAGCTGAAAGACAAATGCTTCTTGTTAGTACTGGATGATGTCTGGGTCAACAGTGACAATATGAAGGAACGTCGGATTCTACTTGAGGTGCTTCTTGTTGGGCAGAGTGGAAGCCGAATCCTGGTGACAGCTCAAAAAACAAATGCAGCTGCAGCTTTAGGTGCTCAGGAGAAAATGCAAATCCCAATACCTGATTTAGAGGAGGAGCAGTACCTCTCAATGTTCATGCACTATGCCCTAGAAGACAGTCAAGTCACAAGGAATGAGTATGAAAGATATAAAGCCATCGGGAGAAAAATTACAAAAAAGCTTCGTAGATCACCCATTGCAGCAATAACAGTGGCAACACGGCTTAAGAGCGAAAGCAGAATTGATTTCTGGGAAAGAACATCAAACCTTGATGTGTTGGATGAAACAATGGGAGCTCTTTGGTGGAGCTATCAGCAGCTTGGTGTTGACATCAGGCGATGCTTTACATACTGCAGCATTTTCCCCAAAGCATATATATTAGGACGGGATGAGATTGTTGACCTGTGGATAGCACAAGGGTTTGTAAACACCAGGAGTAACGGAACAGAGGAACTGGAAGATATAGGACAGAGCTACTTTGATGAATTACAGACATTCTCATTTCTGCAAGTACGACGAAGAAGAACCATTTTGGGCAAGGAGGCAGTGGATTTCACAATTCATGACCTGCTACATGAGTTGGCAGAGAGGGTTTCTGGTAGTGAGTTCTATAGAATTGTTTCGAATGGCTCACCAAAAGAAATCCCGCGAGGGGTTCATCATCTCTTCATTGAGACCAACAATGGATCAGAGATTGTTGAGAAAATTTTGGACATGGGAAATTTGCGCACCCTTATCATTCAGGAGCCTAGGGACACCATGGAAAAATATCATGACTCGGTAAAAGTCATGGATCGTTTATTCATGAGTCTGAGGAAACTGCGGGTGCTGATTGTTATGCTACAGCATTGTAGAAACGAGTTGTCAGTCCCAGTATCTATTTATCAGATGAAGCATCTACGTTATCTCCGTCTTGATTTCTTTGTTCGCCATCTGATTTTACCAAGCACATTTAGCAAGCTTTACCATATCCAGAACATAGATATTCCTTGCTTCAGAGCATACTCTCCTGAAAATATGTCTAATCTAATCTATTTGCGGCACATCTCAGCTTCGCTTTCTTTCCCCAACATTGGAAGGCTGACGTCACTCCAGACAATGAGAAGCTTCTTAGTGAAGGAGGAGGCACAAGGGTATGAATTGAAGCAGCTGATGCATCTGAACAAACTTCGAGGCTCTCTAATTATATGGGGGCTTCAGGCTGTCGGAAGCAAAGAGGAAGCTCTTGAAGCCCACCTATGCAACAAGAAGCGACTCAGAGAACTGGAACTGAATTTCGACTTGGATAAGTGTTTTGGTCCAGACGTGGAAGCAGAGGTACTTGAGGGCCTTTGTCCCCCAAAGGATCTTCAAGAGCTCAAAATCTTGTTCTACAACGGTTCAAGGTATCCTAGTTGGGTGTTGAGTGGCCACCATCCAGATGCCCCAAAGCACCTGCACAAACTTGAACTCTACAAGTGCAGCCAGCTGGCAGCTATTCCTGAAGATAGTGAACTCTTCAATGGTCTGCGTGAGCTTCGCATTTACTATTGTGACTGGGACTGGTTGCCGGAAAATATGGAGTACCTCGTGTCGCTCCAGTCACTGTGGATTTGGAACTGCCATAAGATAGAGCTTCTTCCGACGCTGCCCCAGCAGGCTCTTAAGAGGATTGATATCCATTTGTGTCCCGTGCTCAGTAGAACCTGCAAAGAAGTGGGACACCCAAATCGGAATATGATCAAGCACATTCCTGAGCAACGCATTGGGTAAGGAAAGATGAAGCCACTGTTCAACATACCAGCGACAGCTCAGCTGAGAAGCATGGTAAGTCTCTTGGCCGCCATCCTTTTTCTAATCCATAGAGGTTGCTGCATTCCTAACCAAACTTTAATAATGATCCTTGGGTCTTACAGTATGTTTGTCAATCGATCCATCTGTGGAACAGGCAGCGGGGGACAAGTCTGTACTTGCAGCCAGGAAAGGCGTTCACGTGGTGTGGTGGATGTTCTCATCCCTGATTGGTTGTGGGTTTGTGCTTTTTCCCCCCTTTCCTTCACTCTATAGTCTATCCTTTATTTGCAATAGGACAATTAATGGCGTGCAAATATAGTTTGTTTACTGTGATCCATGAGCGCGAGAGATAATGCTGTACTCATTTGTTCCCAATTGTTGAGTGAGTAAAGCTCATTGTAGACTGTAGAGCTTGTGAACTACATTGTGATTCAAAAGAACATATACATTCTGGTCAATTCTTGCAAGACACAGTTTGGTTTGTATATGAGATTTGTTCTTATGACCATAAATCTGGTATATTCTTGTTGATTTGGTTTGATACGCCCTGCTCTTTTCTGCCCTGTTTTTGAGCTTCGTCCAACTCTGCATATGTTTTTTTTTCTGAACCTCGGTGCCTACCTGCATGCTTGTACGGCTTTATTCATTGTGGGTTACATTATAGGTCTGCCTAGCCAATCCTAGGCCCATGAAATGTTAGTATATATGAAGTGTTACGTCTAAGTGTTAAGATAGTAATAATAAAATAAATTACATAAGTCCACAGTAATCCATAAGACGAATTTAGTAATTCTAATTAATCCATTATTAGCTTATGTGTTACTGTAGCACCATATTGTCAAATAATTGACTAATTAGGCTAAAAAAATTCATCTCAAAATATAGTCATAATATATGCAATTAATTATTTTTAGTTAATATTTAATACTCCATATATTCATTCAATACGAACTAAACTTTAGAGGAGGAAACAAGTCCTGTACCACCACGCCAACTACGGCGCGCTCATATGCTGTGCAGTGCAGTCTGTTCACATGTGAACCCCATAAAAGAACCATAGATATATCCCCAGCATTGGACAAGGACATGAGTCTCTCTCTGTGACCCACCATGCACTTGATGTAAGTGCAGGGCCTTGTTTAGATTGTAAGTTTTTTCACTTTTTTTTATCACATTAAATCTTTGAATATATGTATGGAGTATTAAATATAGATTAAAAAATAATTAATTACATAGTTTGATTGTAAATTACGAGACGAATCTTTTGAACCTTGTTAGACCATAATTAAACAATAATTATCAAATACAAACAAAAATGCTATAATGGCCAATACTAATTCCTAACTTCAATCTAAGCGAGGCCCAGGACGAGACGAGCGTTGATGGGAATTGACAAATAAGCATGGGCGGAGGACGCGATGGGCCGGCCTCTTCCTGCGGCTGACCATGAATAATGATTCTGGGCAGTGGCTGCCAACCAGTAGTGCGATGGTGGGGACTGGACAGGATGGGCGTCACATGCATGCTGTACGTTTGGTGCAGCCCCTGCAGACGACCACAGAGGTCAACAACTTTGCCTGCTCGTACGTCCAAGGTGATGTATAATGGCAGTCTTCAATTTCTGTCCTTCACAACAAATGCAACACTTGTAGCTAAGGCTGTGTTTAGTGGTAGGAATTTTGATTTTGGGGTTATTGTAGTATGTTCGTTTTTATTTGACAAATAGTGTTCAAACATGAATTAATTAGGCTTAAAACGTTCGTCTCGCAATTTCCCACCAAACTATGTAATTAGTTTTTTTTTCATCTACATTTAATGCTCCATGCACGAACCGCAAACATTCGATGTAACAAGTACTGTAGCAATTTTTTAGAAGTTAGAGTGAAACTAAACAAGGGCTAATTATTAATCCTACTCTCCGATCCGCAGAAAATAAATTTTGACAGCAGGTATATACATCATGCAGAGATAACTCAAGAAACGCGCTACGATGAGATTGGGAGAGAGATCAGCAATTTGGAAAATTGCAATGGCAAGAAGAAAACAGCAGCCCCATGATAAAAAAAGGTGGGCGAGGGTTTATTCAATCCAAGAATATAGCTAGCCGTATGTGTATCCTGCTCACTGCTTTTCGCTCCCTCTGCCCATCTATGGCCATGTTTGGTTCGTAGCTCATAAATCTAGTCAACTAAACTACCTTCTAAATTTTAGTAAGGCCATTGACTAAAACTGACAGGTTTATATTTATAAAGACCAAAATACTCCTCATTAATGGTAATTGGGTACCCCTGGCTTTTGGCGCCAACACTGCCGCGCTGTTGGCTCCTGCTAGCGCCGCTGCCTCCCACGTGCGGCCTTGGCGCCAATTCCACGGCTGGCTGCTCTGCCTAGCATGCTCTGCCTGCTGCTCTTCTAGGCATGCTCTGCTAGCTGCTTGGCAAACAGCTTGGTTGCACGCCAGCGCCATTCCAAGTTTACAAAAATGTTCAAATGGTTTACAAAAATGTTCAAATAGTTTAAAAACCATAGCGATGCTATGACCTTGAAAACAAACCATTCGCTATCCGATCATGAAATTGATTCATGTTTTCATCTTCGTCTCCAAAACGTGCGGTGCCTCTAGTTGCTTGAGTTGAAATTTCTTCCTCTATTGGTATATAGTTTTCATCTTGATCACAAAAGTCAAATAGGTAATTCATCATACTACTTTGTCTAATGAAATTGTGCAGTGCCATGCATGCTATTATTATTTGCTTTGCTTTGCTTTGCCATAGGAAAACTAGGCAAATCCAACAAAATTCTCCACTTCATTTTTAGGACTCAAAAGACCTTTCTATAACATTTCTAAGTGAAGAATGTGTGTAATTGAAGAGCACTTTTTTACCTCTAGGTGCTGGCCCTTCTCTCCATTCGGGCACATGGTATTTTGTACCTCTGTACGGTGCAAGAAAACCCGGTCGATTTGGGTACCCTGAGTCAACAAGATAAAATTTGTCTACACAACACAATACTAGTGTAAGTAACATGACAAATACTATGACAAAGACAATGAAGAAATGTAAAAGGCCATACATACCTAGAGGTGGATGTGGAAACTTGTCACCAAATTTCTCAAGTGCATCATTGAACACCCTCATATCATGAACTGATCCTGGCCATCCGGCTAGAACAAAAGTAAATCTCATATCAAAGTCGCATACGGCTAACACATTCTGTGTGGTGATTCCTTTCCTTCCTGTGTACTGGACTACCTTCTCAGTTGGCACAGTGACAGGTACATGTGTCCCATCTATAGCTCCAATGCATTTATCAAAATACGGAGCAAACCGAGGAGATTGTAACCTTCTATGAATAGTTAAAAAATGTGTATCCTTTGGCCTAATGATATCAATTGCTAGCTTGATCACACTAGACAGTACCTTATCAAACTTGTTGCTACATGTCCCTAGTGACCTCTCAAATCTATTATCAGCTTGTCTCATGGACTGAGGGGCACCACGCATCCACAAAAACATTGCTAGAGCCTCTTTAGAAGTCATTTTTGTAGTGGACTGCAGATCATATCTCTAAACTAGCAAAGTGTGAAGGCTATAAAAACATCGTTGTGCATCCTAAACATGTTATAGCATTGTGTCCTATTTCCTAGGGTTCTCATAGTCCACTGATATCCAGTTTCATGTGGGACTCTATAACTAGCCTTGTTCATGAACTTGTCATAGTGGTACATACCTAGTAGCATGACAGCAGTAGCAATCCTTCTCCTTTTCTGCTGACACCTAGCAACATACATCAGCAGCGCTGTTTCCTCATCATCAGTGAAGTCCCCTTCATCAACATCTGACCAATCATCACCAGTCGTCCACTTGTCATCTGAGTCATCATCAGTAGTTCTCCACAAATCATCATCAGAAAGTCCAGTAGCATCAACATTAGCATCCACATCAGCCCCTCTTGCAGCAGCCCCTACACCAGCATCAACATCAGCCCCTCTAGCAGCAGCCCCTACACCAGCATCCACTCCTCCAGCACCCCCTACACCAGCATCCACTCCAGCAGTAGCCTGGTCATCAAAAGAAATAGATGTTAAAAGAGCATTGAATGTTAACATGAAAAAATGGCAGAACCTACACCAACATCAATAGCAATGGCAGCAACACCCATTACATTGTTCACCAAGCAATACAAGGTTCATTACGATTACATAGTTCATCATAAATTTAAAGTCTTAAGCAAAATAAAATTAAGGGTGCCAAACTGGAGACTCCATCTGCCATTCTATCCTATTGTCCTCATTTATTTTTGGCAGCCCTCCTTAGCCATGCCATCCTTTGCTCATTTGTATCAAGACCACTAAAGATGAACCTGTTGTAGGTACTTCTAAACAGCATGGTAGCAGCAAAGTATTCATTTGAAGCTTTGTCTGCCCCAGCCTCAATAGCCAAACTGAGGCACCTAGCAACATCATCAGCTCTTGTTTGCTTTGTGTTAACACTAGATTTTGGTCGACTTCGGAAGATGACAGGTGGACCCGCATACAGGAAGAAGGACATTCGGCAAACAAAACGAGCGGTCGGCTCAATGCTTGTGCGGTTGGTTACTTTAGAAGGTGGTGACTCCATTCGGGAAAGCAGAAGATGGCAGGCAAAGCCGATCGAAAAGATGAAAGTTGTAATAATAAAGGACTCTGAGAGTTTAGGGCAAGGAATCATAGTTTCCAAGTTTGTTTAAGAGATCCTTTGTAAATCGTAGTCTTTTAGGACTCGTGTTTTGTCTAGGGTATAAATATTGACCCTCGACCATTGTAATAGGCGTTCACAACCAAATCAATACAACCGGCCCCGTGCCAACTTTCGAGTCCTTTTGTCGTGTCGTCGAGTCCTTCGAGAGGAGTCATCGATCCGTCGACCTCCGTAAGTTCCGACAACCTTGTTATCATGTTTAGTATCATGCGGTGGATTTAGACGTGATGCAAGTAGTCT